CCCCAACCACAAGGACACCCTACCCCCATCCCACGCCTTCGCCGCTTCATACCCCCAGCGTGAACGAGCGGGTCCTTGTACAGCGCCGTCTGGCTGCAGGAACGGACGGCTGTTTGTCTATGCTGGACTACCTCCACCTCCCCATTCCCCACCCCTGTTGCAAGTCTCGACTTGATGTTGTGAGCTATGGTGACTATGTGCTTATTGCTGAGGTGTTTTTTTTTCTCTGTTCCTATATTGTCCTCCCTACTGGAGTACAGTCTGGGGGCTGTTTTTTTTTTATTCACCTACACTATCCTCGCGTAATCTTGTTTCTCTGAGTTTTCCTACAATCCCCTGTCTTCCTGACCTGTCTACCCCCTACGTGTGTTGTATATGTATGGTCGGGTTGATAGCCATTATTTCGCTGGTACTTGTGACCATGTGACAAGGTGTATTGCAACAGCAATAAAGGGCTTCATCAATCAATCAATCAATCAATCAATCAATATGTCTTCTCTGATACCCATGGTGTTCACTGCTTCATCAATAGCCTCTAAAATACCTGCAGCATTTGCACTCTTGACTGGCTGACATTTGATCATATATGTGGATATGTTACCATTATCTCTCACATACCTGACATGAACCAACTCCTGTTCTATTATACCAGTGTCTGTACTGCCATCTGCAAGAATGGATAAGAACCTGCTTTCTTGAATTTCCTTTTCGATCTGGTCTCTTGAAGTTTGTGCTATTGCTCCAATAAACTCTCTGCAAGCCTGGTCATTGAGGTAAGTGGAACATAGGCCATTTGCTTTTTGAAGTTTGCAAAGACTGCAAAATTTTGCCAATGGTAGTTCACTCTTCGCAACATAGTACGCTGTTCTAAACAGCTTTTTCAGGACTTCTTGTTGTGCTTGGTTTATTTTTAGTATGTTTTTTGCAATTGGTGTTTGTTCTGGGAAAAATGCTGCAGACTGAGCACCAATGCATTTCTTGTGATGCAGAGATTTCTCATTGGTTCTGATGGGGTCTTTCCTAAAATTACTGGTCCCAGTAACAAAGGCGCTTCAGAAATCGAGGGAAACTCACGACACACCCGGCAGAACATTATGTTATTTAGCTTGTCATATTCCAGCCACAGAAATTCTTTTGTCCATGAAACCAAAAAGCTGCGCTTTCTTTTTGCCTTATAGTCTGATTTGTCATAACTTTTCCGCTTTGTGGTAGGCTTTTCTTTGGCTGTCCCTTCTTCACCCTGACCTGTCTTATTTGGCTCAGCAGAACTAAAATACCTGTGTAAATCCATCTATTTTTACACACGCATACACATAACGGTCAGCGATTTTTTTTTTAATTCTCTGCGCAGTCAACCTCTATCACATGTTTAAGCTTGCTGCGGGAGATTTCACTTGTCACATTTGAATAGTAAGCTAATGAGTGATAAGACGATGTCAGAGGAATTGGTGCGCAATTAATCCGTCACTGACCAATCAGTACTACCGCTCTCTATACACAGTTCGCGCGATCGCAAAGTAAAAAACAAGCCCAAATTCAAATGCAATTTCAATATTTCACATATTGACAGTGGCTCATCGATGCCCGAAAATGACATAATTACCCAGCTACATTTGCGAAAGAATGCAAAAGCATTGACATATATTTTTCCTTCCTATGATAGCCCGACGGGTAGGGCTGAGAGAGATTTTGGTAGCCCGACTGGAAGACACAATAGCCCCGGGACGTCGGGCTAGCGATTTTGCGACCCCTGTAATGTTATTCTGCTAATAAGCACTGGCAAGTTTCATTGCCGACACCAGTGATTTTAGATAAAAGTAAATTGTTTAGCGATCAAATTTTCTGATACAGAAATATGGAGAAGCAACCAAAAAATGTATTAATCGATGCATTAAATGTGATTGAAGTACAAAAATAATTCCATCTGCTAAATATTGGCTCCGCTGTATATTTTGCAGTACTTCCGCATTACTTCCAAGTTAGTGCTGGTGCTCATGGCCAACCAATCAGCAAGCTGTTGCTATAAGTGCCTCCCCAGTGGTTCTTGTTCAAATGAAAAGTACCTAGTCTGGAGCAGTTACTAAAAAGGGGTTCTATAACAGCCTCCCAGGAACTACAATCTGGCCAAGTCCCTGTGGTTTGAATACGACAAAAGTCCCTGATTCCCAAAAAGGGTACTTGTTTCAGAAGAAAGTTCCAGCAGTGTGAAAGTGCTTATGGTTACTCTAACAGTCACAGGATTTGAACCTGTGACCTTCTGGACACAGGTAATGCAAATGTGTTACACACCACCACTCTAAAACAAGTTTACAATATGTACACATAGACATCAGTTAATTAACATTTTCTCTCTATATTAATATCATATAAATCAGGTGTAGGCAATCTTATCCTCAAAGGGCCAGTGTGTATGCAGGTTTTTGGGATAACCTTTAGGTCAGCTGTTCAAACCCAGGACAGGAGTCCTTATCCAATTAATCCTCTAATTAGTAATCTAATTAGGGAGTTGTACCTAAAATCCACACACACAATGGCCCTTTCGGATTAGATTGCCTACCTCTAATCTAAATCATGTTTTACATAATAATGTCTTTACTATGCAGTATCTCTGCTTTAGTAGAAGATAAGGCAAGATTTTATGTTACTGTTTATCTATTATCTGTTTACAGAAGAACTGTAATCTCGCCCAGCCTTCTGTGGAGAACGAATCAGTAGGAGACTGGGCAGCTTGCAGGTAATGATGGTGGAAAGAGACTTAGAGCTGATCACACCTGTTTGTAGACCATGCTGTATAGGTGAAAATTACATACATTGTTTTTTATTACCAGAACATACAGTACTTTTGCCTAGATATTTACCAAATCCGTTACTCTGGCTTCTAAGCTGTCTTTGTTCATGTCCTGTTTCTCTGTATGACTGATATTTAAGGTTTTCACTAGCAAAACATCCTTCCATGCATCCGTCCATACTGGTCAGGGTTGTACTGTAGGGGGACCTGGAGCCTCCCAGGCAGCATTTCTGGGATATACCCTAGCTTGGAATAGCAAAACATGTATAAAACAAAAAATGAATACAAAAATACACTGTAATAATTAAATGTATGTAGTCATAAAAATGCTTTGTATTTACATCTCTGTTAGTTAGGTTCCAGTATGGTCTTTCTCCATACGACATGACCTCCCACATAACAACTCCATAGCTCCATACATCGCTGGCCGATGAGAACTTTTGATAGGTGATAGCTTCAGGGGCTGTCCAGCGGATGGGTATCTCTCCAGCCTAGATCAAATATAATATAAAATCGTCAACAAAATGGCCAAATGGTATTGATAATCATCACATTCCAGTTTAAATGCAAAATACTGAATCATGAGAGTCCGTGATGCTTTGTTTTTTGTGTCAGGCTAGAAGTATAAGACGTCTCATTATTTACATTGCAGTAAGCATTGAAGGTAATCTGAAAATGTATTAGTTTATGAGAGTGAAGAACAATGGAGTAAAGTGTGTAATTTCAAAATTAACAAACAATTTAAATGTCTTTAATAAGGATTTCTTATTTCTTATTTGTTTATTCTTAATAAAATAATTCTGTATAGCATACATTTTGATTAATAACTCAATAAATTGTGAAAAAATTTCTTAAAGAAAATACCCAAAAGTTACAAAAACTTGGAAACACTTGAGAAATGTATGATAATTAATGGCCACTTTTTCACAGTAATGAGATACAAAAGTTTAAACCAACTTATTGAAATACATCTTATCCATCTTCACATGGGTGCCTGCAGCTGTAGGCACTGTGAGTACCTTTAGCTTTTATACTGGTTTTATACTTGTTTTTGTGTTGTTTCGTCTGCAACAGAAACATAAAAAGAGGAGTATGGCTACACAAATACGAATCATGATATTTTTCACTCAATTTCACTTTCTCAATTTTCAGTCTCAGTTCGAAAGTTAGCAGCCCTGGAGCTAAAGATACAAAGCTAACCATTCCTTTTACCGTCCCATTATTACTAAGTAATTACCCGGTAAATATATGGAAAATTATAGCATATTATTGGTTAATTACCACAGGTAATAAAAGTAGGTTAACACAGAGAAACTACCGCTGAAATAAGAAAAATCCCCAGTATTACCCTTTAACTCAACAAAATTGGTAATTTGGTAATAATTCAGGTATAATTGCATACTTCCTGGTAAAGTAGGCAACAAATTCTTAAAAACATCTACCCTATTACTCATCAATTCAAGTTACATTTGTAGTTATCCAAGACTTATGTTGGCTACAGCCCATAGTTAATTATGTACTATCTAGAAATTAATTTCCAATACATTACTTTTTCTTACAAAGTTATTGTTCATGGATACACCCATTTATAAAGGATATATTAAATTTTACCTTATACTTACCTGGTAACAACGCCCACAGGAACAGTTTTCCTCTAGTGTCTTGGTACATCTTCTTAAATATTGGGTATGTTTTTACAATTTACTCAGTAAGCAAGCTGAAACTGTACTGTACAAGGACGCCTTGTTTTTTTCCATGTTATTACCAGGCTCTTACCATATATTTTTGTAATAGATTGTTCTCACACAGTCAACACAAACTTATACCATGTAAATTCTGCAACATTAGAAGATAAAACATGACAATTTACTCAGTAAGTAAGCTGACACTGTCCTGTGAAAGGAAGCCTTGTTGCTTCCATGGTATTGAAGGGTAATAGTGGAGATTTTTCTTAGTATTTCAGCTGTATTTCTCAATGTTTTACCTACTTACTACCTGTGGTAATTAACCAATAATAGACTATAATTTACCATTTATTAACCAGGTAATCACTGTAAAAGGAAGTGTTACTGATACAACTTCTGATACAATGGAGATGATTGCATTGTGCAATCTGTAATTTTCTATAGTAGAGGACAAGGGATTTCATCAGCTGTTTCACCACTTGAAACAGGTAAAAAGTACCAGCCTACAACATGCGGATAATCCATTAGTAAATCTGGCTCGTAGATCAATCTTTCATGTTCCTCAGAATAAAAAATTATGTAACGTCATTCTGCTAATCTTCGTTGGCAAGCTCTGCAAGTTTCAAATGTGGTCAGCAATATTACACAAAACTATAATGGTCATTGGTATTGATCGATACTTCCACATCGGTGCAAGAGAAATTATGGCCCAGTCCCAAACTATACCCTCAACACTTCACAACACACCCTATGCACTTAAACTAAAAGAAATTGTCACAAGAAAGATTTGAGACACACTTGCCCTCACAGCGCCTTTTTACAGTCTTCTTTACCGGAAAGAGGAAATGCATTATGTAGTGATTTGACAAAATGGATCCATCAAGAAGCTGTATTGTATTTTCTTTAATGACATATCAGTTATTTAAAAAAACACAAAGTTTATTTAATGCGAGAAGATTACGACTATGTCGTCTTATTGCACTGACTGAGCAATTTAAAGCATGTACACGTGTCATATTGACGATTGTACAATTTATACCATAGCTAACTTAGTTTACAGGCATAAAACATTATGCATTACTTCTGTACCAAATACCAGATCAAATCTGTAGAGGAAAAAAATAGGCAAATATGAAACATAAATTGTTGTTGCTGGTGTGATGTTGATCGAGTTTGTGTACGAACGTTCCTTCACATGGTTTCTAGTTTGAAAAGTACACTAAATCTCTCTTAATTTGATCACGATAAAATCTATCTGTACTGACCAGCTACAAATAGCTGCTTTCCTAATTTTTTTTTCTGCAGTGATGTTTTCTGTGTGCTAGGAATTGTGAGATATGGAAGTGGTAGTGGAATCGCACGAGCGAACTTAAATACACAGCAACAATCAACATGACTTGAAACAGCTGGTAACATGGGGATTCCACACAAGGTAAATGAGGGGGTGTGGCACACGGGAAGCTCGGACGACCAGGGCATGTCAGTATGATATAAAGTCAATACAGTCGAACTTCGTTACAACGTACCTCGGGGGAATTAAGAATTTGTACGTTATAACCATAGTACGTTGTAACCAAGTCCCTCAAAATGAATGATAGAACACAAAATGTATATAAAAAAAACTTTTAGAAAACACCCCTCAAGTAGACACTATGACATACAGCTTGTGTAGTTTGAAGAATATACTGTAATAGGAACTATATTCTTCAAACTAGGTTAATATCAGTTACTCATAGACAGCCGACATAACGCAAAATCCACTGCCGGCTTATCGTTCAAATCGCCTTACTGTAACCTAATGTCAAACCGAAATTATGCACCTGTATATGATTCAATTGGCTGAAATAAATTTCGATACATGTGTTAGACATCTGTCTTTTGTTAATTTCTTTCACTATATGTCACACAATTACCCCAATAACCACACAGTTTCAGAACTTAGTTTGCGTCGGCAGTATAAGGCTGCCATGTATAATTCTGAATTATTTCCACCTTGTCGGTCAGCGAAATCCGTTTCCTTTTAGCAGGCATCTTGCTTGATATGCGGCAGCATGACACCATGCAAAACCATGAAAAAACGGGGGCTGCCTGCAAGGAGTCCGGCCGGCATGGAATGCTTCGTGAGGATAAGTTCATACAGTTAGGCGTTGCTAAGCGATGTAGATGGCCGGCAACAGCCGATTCTGAATTGTGCGCGCGCTCGGAAGATGAGGCTGTACGTTGTAACGAAGGTCAATTTGCCTATTTTCCTCTGAAAATCATACGTTATATCGAAGTTTACGCTGTAAAGGTGTACGTTCTAAGCGATACCGGCAAATAGAATAATGCATTACGCGAATTCGGGACATCGATATTTGAACGTTGTATTGGTGTAAACGTTATAAACGGGGTACGTTGTAACGAGGTTCGACTGTACATGTTTTCTTATCCTAAAACACATTACTAATGATACATAAAACAAAAATGGATAATGGATGCACAGAATATTATGAAGTAAACTTCAGAGCATGTCTTACCGATACGCAAGCACAAAGAACTGGGATGCTGGGAGCATGCACGCTACGCTGCTGCACAGCGGGAGTAGTGGCCAGGATTCGTACTAGGCGGAATTGGCACGCAGTACAAACTTTGATGTTGTGGACAGGAAACGGGAGCCTAGCGAATGCACGCAATTTGGACTTATGTCCACATACCTATTGCACATCCCACTTACAGGTATATTTGCACAATTTTTTCCCAACAATCAGATGGGTACCTGTATTTCTTTGTGTACGTCTTAAAATGGCATTTATAATTTAATGTTGAACAACTCCTGAACAAATATAGTAGCTACTTCAGAAAAAAGATGTGTCAATTCATTAATGATGAACAAACATGAGATCAGAAGTCTCTGTGCCTGTGAGCAGACGTTTGCCTGTTTGAGCCTCAGCAGCAGCAGGACAGTCATGTGTCCACGTGCATTTGAGCCAGGTCCTTAAGCCCCTTCTGACTGTGCATTGTGCTCCCGAAGTTATGGAGAGCAAGACAGGGTAGGTGAAGAGAAGAATTCCAATGTACTTGTGCAAATAGGAAATAGTGGATTAATCTTCAATGATGAACAAGAATTCACTGAACATGGATGTGGCTGGACTGTGATCAGAAATCAAAGTGGGAGAACATGCAACCAACCTATGTCTGCTTTTATATCTAGTTAATCCATCTATTCAGAACACATGTTAAATAGGCTGGGGAACAATGCTCCAATCCTGAATAGGACAAGCAATTACAGAAAATGAATGGGTAGTCATTATCATGTTAATAAGGCGATCTGCTGCTGTACTAATTACTACATCTATTAATAGGGTTCATACACTATTCTATGACTTCTTCAGGACTTCAAGCTAAATTTTAAAGAAACATTTTTTTGTTCAACACATTCAGGAAAAGCGTTCTAAGTTATGTGATGATCATCACATGGCACCATTACAAACATGTACGTTGTGCAGAGGAACCAAGTGTTATGATCTTGCATTCATCCTTTGGATATGGATGTATGTTCTATTGCATATAATTTTAGAGATATGTATGTTGCTTTTCTCTCTTGTTCAGACACACACTATCAAAAAAGTTGCAGAGTTTAATTTCCATCTGGTCTAGCTGAACAATAATTATCAAACGTAACTTTTGTAATCTTTTCTAGCTATCACCAGATTAATTTATTCCTTACATTTGCAATAACAAGAAAGAAAAGTTATTGAGTGTCACGTCAGGGCAATTATAATGGCGTGCATAAAGCATTTGTGTTTTAGCACAGACTTTACGACTCAATGATAAATTTACACAGATTGTTACCCTTTACTTTGTTTTTCAATTTAGATGTATTATTCAGCATATCAGACGAAACGTCGAACCTCTTTGTTGAAATTTTTTATCAATGTTGAGTATCACTGGTTATGATTAAAAGCTGAAATGTTATCATACGGTAATAAGAATACAACACAAAAGACACAATACAGCAACGAATAATAATGTATTACAGACTGAACCCTTTGCCCTTCAACGGAAAAATATTAGCCTAAGAATATCTTAGTACTGAAAGACCTTTTTACCATGTAGATTTCTACCGTGTTGACACGGTATAAAAATGCATCTGTAAGGCTGGAGGCCTTGCAGGCCCCGTCGGTCTGAGCTCTGGCAAGCCTGTAATGCTCCACCCAGTGTCCTGAAGCAAAGGTCCACCGGCTCCGACAAGACTGGACCCAAATCACCTGATCACCACATCAAAAGGGACACCTCACCCCCACTGGGCAGCCAGAACCCCGCAGCCAAATTCCAGTGATAAGGCCTGGCTGCGTCAAGACACAGATGCATCCTACATTCACTAATTCACACCAGAGCATGTGAGC